GTGCGCGTTGCCGATCCTGAACAAACCCAGTAGGTACACCCCTTTCAAAGAACCCCCTTGGTTTCTACTTTTAAGTAGCTAGGTGCTTACCTAACTACTTAAAAGCAATAAAGTTTTAGTCAATCCTCTTTGAACTTTCCTGGACTTTGATTTTGATTTTGGACTTTGATTTTGTGTAAGAGTCGAGTTTAGCTGTGTTCCAATTACGGTCCAAGAGTGGCCCTTTCCATATCATAAAACAAAAAGCGAATATGAGAACTGTTAAAACTGGACTACGTATAGAAAGGGCATATAAAATAAAAGCAGTTGCATTATTACATTTTAACATAAAAAAAATATTTGAAAGATCAATTTCAAATTTCCAAATAATTGAACAAGAAACTCTTCAGTTTGCTGAGAATTCGTTAAGCGATGTTTGATATATGTGTGTGACTGGCATTGCAGAGACATTTAAAATTGTGTAGCTACTAAACTCGTTACCTGCCACTCATCAAGAGTACAATGTACAATAAACGATGTCGTTCATACCTCATAATAATCCATAACATAATCTCATTAGCACACATGACGCGCACGAGAGCGCACGCTTTGACGGCAACATGTTGGTGTGGGATTAATTTTACGTTTAATTACGCCGACTTGACATCACAGAATACTCAAATTTGTGGGCAATTATACTTGATTCTAACCACCGTGTAATATTCTTTCGTAGAGGTAATTGCCAGCCGAGTGAAACGTGGTTGTACATTTTCGCTGGCAATAATTTAACATATCTAGACGTTTTTACCACCATTATGTTCAAGGTGAGGTGTTTAAAATCAGTTCATACATAATGACTGATTTCTATTATTTATAGTTATTATTATTATTATTTGATAATCCACGAATTATTTATATACGATTGTAATGCGAATAATCGATAATTTCGATTTAACTAAATATTCGCCTCATCTTTGCTAATCCAAATAGGAATACATATTCAGAGAAATGTATATCGATAACCAAAAACAATTTATTACTGGGACTTCTCTGAATTTGATATTAATACAAAATAAGTTCTAAAGAAACCAACAAATACAAGTTCTGAATATCAACGTAAAATTTATCCCGCTCAGTCTTAGGTTTTTGTAACACTAAGTACAATTGTGCAAATATTTTTGATTGACATTCTGTTACCAAAAAAATCTGATTAAATTTTAAATTAAAATGAGCGCTTTAGTTGAGTTTATAAATCTGATAAAAGATTTCAAACGTAACATGATATGTTAAAAAAAAAAACTAAGATTAAAGACGGTACATCACAAAACAACCCGCATAAATGACGTCTACTTAGTTAATCGGTCTCTCCCGATCCGTTGGATGTATTACAAAACTTGGCATATTACTTGGAACCCTGTATACTTTGAAAACGGATCGTACTATCTTTTAAAGGTCGCGAAACCTGATATTTTCTTTGAAACTATGAAAAATATTATTTACAATACTCTTTTTTATATTCTATGACTCTATCGTGTCTATTTAATCAAAAAGCGATTAAAGAGTATTCGTTGTCAGAAATTATATATATATATATATATATAAATGGTGATTCTAAAATCACAAGCTCAATGTGTATTTTCAATTGCAAAGCTCCCTCTTAGATTCCCTCTTATTGACAAAGTGATAAGGTTGCCATGTTTATATTGAGAATTATAGTATTAAAATTCAACTTAGTTTTATTTGTATTTTATGATTACATAAAAAGTTGTCTAGAAAACGATGTATATTATGGAAAAATAATAAATATTGAAATCAATGTTTGCAATTGATTGCAATATTTATTATATACCATGTTGTGATTAAAGCACGTATTCGTTGTCTCAGAGAGCACAAACAAGCGAAAATTCAACAGATCACGAGATCTGGTAAGCATATAAAAAAAATTGGCAACACTGGCAATACCAGATTATCAGAAAAAGTTCTCTGTCCATAGAAACAGGGACTTTCAAAGTGTGATTCGGTTTGTTTATCTTTGATAAAATAGAACACTCGGCGTATGATTAATGATGGAAAACTCAATTCTGTTTGTAACGAGCTTTTTCCGTTATGTATTTATAAAAAAAAAAACATGAATGAGAAAGTCCTTGGTTAGTATTAGATAATAACATTATTTTTACGTAAGCGTGTAAACATGGATAACAATCTATAATAGTAGGGTAATTTTTAAGTTGTTTGGGATTGCATTTAAAAGGCGAACGAGTTTCTATGGAATTTGGTAATACAGGTGGATCTGGACTTATTGTTTTTTATTATTATTGACTTGACCATAGCCTTAAAATTTTACTGTAATAGGTGTTATCTTGTGGAAATCCATATCACTGGTTATTAGAAATATTTTGTTTAATTCCGCTACCATAAGAATGTGCGCGACTGCCAATATTCGAAGATTGACCACTATCATTACACCAGAAGTTGTACAACCTTCCATCCTGAAAACGCTTCGTATAGATATAGAAAACGTGTGAATATATATATATATATATATATATATATATATATATATATATATATATATATATATATATATATATACGAGGTCGTGTTGTAAAACGTGCGAGAAAGAGGAGTGGGGAGGCCAGGTGGACCCCTTCCTTATGTCCCTAACAATGCTTCAGTTCTGGTCTGACCGCCGTGCGGTGCGACCAGAATATGTGAAGTTACCTCTTAACGAAACCCCGTCGGCATGGAGCGCTTCCGTTGAAGAGCAGCGCGTAATATGTTAAGAATGAATGATCTCAGTTTCTCAGCAAAAAAGATACAGAGAGCAAAATCAAGAATAAAAAAAATATAAAAAGTACAAGCCATGGTTTCGCCGGATTTGGCCCCGTGTGACTTCTTCTTGTTCCCAAAAACCAAATTGGTACTTCGGGGGCGGCATTTGGGGGACATAAATGAGATAAAAAAAGCTACGACGGGGCAGAGAAACCTGGAAGCACAAAATTGTGCAAACACAAGGGGATAAAATTGATTTACCTGAATAATTGTAAAATAAAATTTTTAAAAAACTTTGATTTGACAAACTTATATATATATATATATATATATATATATATTTATATATATATATTTACAATTGAGAACAGATAACTACACCAGAATATAGGACGCAGAGTATATGTTAAGAGAATGAGTTTCTCAGCAAAAATACAAGCAAAAAATAAAAATATAAAAAGTACAAGCTGGTTAGGGTAGGGAGATGGAAGCACAAAATGTGCAAACACAAAAACCTAATGAGTCAAATCGCGACAGGCTGTGATTTGACCTTATAATAATAATATGCGAAGTGAAAACTTATCTGTCTCCTTCACCCTTCATCTCAATGAAAGATGCATACATCTTCACATAAACATGGAGGGAAAAGTCTACTTATGTCGCGTTTAGACACACAAGTACAAAAGAGCGCGTCACATTGATGGATGGGCATGTGGGGAGATTACATACATATAAACTAGGGTTAGCGTTGAGCGACGAATACGTACAATCGAGGTGTCTTCAGATTATTCTCTGATCGATCATCTATCGTTGAAAATCGCATAACAAACAGAAATATACGCTTGGAGGAAAACAAATATTGATGTTCCTGATTATGATGGAAATGCTGAATTAGTTTATGAAGCCTAATAATACGACTATTATTTATCGGCTCTGCTTATACATGCTGTTTAAAAATATTCAGCTATTGAAAGGATTAATATATCAGAGGTTATATAATACTTACTGATTATGAAAGTGAGTTTTTTTTTTAAAGGGTTATAATGCAATAGTAACTCCGCCTGCGCTAACGGTATACGCTGGCGGGGCACCAGTGATAGATGATAGGTGACGATGAAAGCAGGTCAGTTAGCCCATCGTGACGAATTCTACTAGAATTAACCACGATGGTTTCCAGAAGAAACCGCGTGGATGTCGACCTGAGAGGGTGTATTGCTAACAATGGATTAATTAGACCCCATTACTAACAATCCCTTTCCCCCCTATGAAAGTGAGTTTCTTTGTTTGTTACCTGTTAGCGCCTTAACGGTTTAACCAATCACAATTTGATATGGACATATGGGGCGATGAAGGTTAGAGGCCACTTTTAATCCCAGTCAATGAACATATCACGATCACGCGGACGTAGTGGCGAGTAAAAGCTAGTACTATATATAATAAATATCAATACATATATATAAACCCCATGTCGCGTTGATCAAAAATTTCACGGCCATTCTTGCCGAGTTTCGAGAGAAACTTGATTACGACGCGCTGCTTTCAACGGAAGCGCTCTTCAACGGAAGCGGGCTCCATGCCGGGGGTTTCCTTTCCTTATACAAACCAATGCTATACTGTACTGTATCTACTGGTATGAACTATTATTTTTTACCTACATTCTTATTTACTGTTTATGGTTCTATAATCTTAACTAGACATGCAGTGTGTAAACGTTTTTGCAGATCAAACAAGCTTGGCATTCTCCTAATGTGAAAGAACTGTGAAACACGCAAGGCCAAATCCTTTCATCCACGTGTTGATAACGGACGACAGTGTGAAATGACAAAAGGTGTGTGACAGTACGTAACAACATTGGAAACTTCATAACGATGGCGATAAAATTAGAATATTACACCTACTATCTGCTATTCTAACATTAATCAATGATCACTCATTACCGGGCAAAGTCTCCCCCATGTCCTTAAAAAATTTCATGTTGAGTGTCACCTCAAACCAATCCCTTTTAAATGCATCTAGGTGGTCATGCCATCGCTTCCTGAGTCGGCTTCAGCGTCACTGTTTACCACCATACACTAGGTGGAGATCTTTACCCACCTATCAAAATCCATCTTATCTAATTAACCATCATTAACATCCTTTTAAAGAAGTATTCTATCAGTGAAACTGAATATTTGTATAGTAAAACACTTTCTTAAAAGGAATATTTCGGTTTAACTCTGTACCTATACTGAAATGGGGTTTTAACTTACGTATGTACGGGCGGCTAGGCGGCGCGGGGTTCCCGCGAGACTCTCCCACGCAACCCCTGCATCCAACTGTGGACAACGAAATAATAATAAATATATTTAAATTTAAATAAAGAATTATAAATGAATACCTTTATTTCACAAATAACTCAGAAGGCCATTAGCCCGAATGATATGTCATTGTTGCAAGCATTAGTATTTTACGGCATCTAATGGTGGGAACACACTGCTACGCATTCAGAGAACAAGCGCTAGATGCCTTTGATGGCAAATAAAATACTTCAATTTGGGTTTGATAATTGAAAAAAAAAATGCAATAGAACCTAACTGGAACAAATTTTGTATTGTAAAAAATAACAATAATAATAATTGAAAATTCAGAAACAGTACATGGATACAATAGTAAGATGTCTTTGATGGTAAATAAAATTCTCCAATTTGGGTTTAGGAAATTGCAAAAAATTGCAATTTAACCTAACTGGAACACATTTTGTACTGTAAAAAGGGTACATGGTTACAATTGTAAATCCACTTTACGCAATTAGTTTATGCTGCTAGTTTATCAAGTAAGGAAAGATAGATGAGGATGAAGATGATCCAATCAGATAGCTTATGGCCACGAATTCATCAGAAATCAACTACAATAGTTTTCAGGGAGGACCGCCTGGAGATCGATCTGACAGGTAGCTAGCTATGATAAATTATGACTCATTATTTTATGTGATACTTATCAGAAATATTTTTTTTTTTATTTTGACATTTATTGTATTTCAATTTTTTTTTACGAGTCAATACGAGTACCACAATCTAAATAACTTCTTCCTGTAACACCTTGGATAATATTATACTTGAATGAAATTTGTAAATAAAATAAAAATCACAACTAGGTTCCAAGTGGTAACCAAATAACATGAATATTCACATATTATATAAATAAATATATACATCTCATATCGCATATTGTGTTACTCATTTATAAGGTAAAAATGTAAAGGGAAAACCACAATGCTATAAGAATATGATATTAATAATATAACATATCAAAATTGAGAAACAGAAATACAAATATGAATTAAGCCTGATTATTACAATACTTGCAAGAGATTGCTAGATTTCTAATTAGGTTAATTTTTTTTTTATGTTTGTTACCTCATAACCTGGTCAATTATAAACCGATTTTTAAAATTCTTTTATTTATCTAATGGACATACTTACAGAGCGATCTAAAAAAACGTAATTAAAATCGATTGAGTAGTTCAGTTTTCAGATTAAACTAACTTGTTTTGCCACAATTGAAGTAGCTTTTCTTGTGAAACACAATCACATATATTGTTTCGAGTTTTTAGATATTTCGTATCTACGTTAGTAAAATAATATTTTTTTCAGATTTACTAAAAGATATAGTTTTAGTATATGTGGAAAAATATAATATAATAAACTGAGTTAAAAGTTTTAATCGTTTCTTTCTGACAACACGACAGACAAACTTTTGCGTAAAAGTAAAATTCGAATCCATTATTAATATTGTCCCATTGGTCAGAGTGACACGATGAATACTGTGTCGGAAGAGGCCATACACTGGTTATAATTAGTTGCGGCTACAGGAAGACCTTCGTCTTTTGGGTGGGACAGATGTTTTATAGGACATGACGTGTTCGTTACAAGTTCGGCCTTTCATCTTAAAAGGGACTCTATATGGAAGATTGGCAAATATGTATTCATATACTCAGTGAATAAAACCTTGTTTGAGTATATTTATTCAACCGCAAATAGTATTTTTAATACCAATTTTTTTATCACCTGTCGGTTCACCATAAATATCGATAAGTGCGAAATAATCACATCAATCACTATGCCGTCAAACTAGAATACTCTTTGCTATAAAATACTAACGTATAGGAGTAGTATCATTGCTAACACCACAATACCGGGTAAATGTTGCGTTTTGGTTACATTCTCTTGTTTCACCACAGATAACACTTTGGTTTAAACCAGAAGTTCTCAGACTTATTTCTCATAGACCACTTTCAAAATTTAGCTGGTTCCAGTAAACCCCCTGCAGCTACATTTGTACCATATTCCCAAAACTCGAAAAAAAAAATGTGAAGATTAGATCTAACTATGGAAATTTGCGTTGTGACTTACATCCAACCACGATTTAATACTTTTCGAAAAAAAAAGTGAGAATTGATTGGTTAATTAATTAATTGATTGTGCTGTAAGTGGATGTTAAAAAAGTAAAGTTGACCAATCAAAAAAGTAATTCCATCCAATTTTATTTTTTTGACATCTACTCGCAGCACAAGCGCACAATTTATCAAATTTAAATCCATTTATCGATAAAAACAATTTAATTAGAGTGGGCGGTCAGCAATCAATTTTCACTAATTTCATTTAAAAAAAAAAACTCCTCTTTCCGCGTGGTAGAAATAAAAAAAATATTGCATATTTTTCTGTTGTATTTATTGAAATATGTAATTATTACACTATTACTTATTGTTATCGTATTACATTAAAATATGATTGAATTTTCGTGGACCTCCGCTTACGAATTATGAGTCCCCATTTTTTTGTCACGCTAACTTACACCTTGTCGAATCTCCAGTGGACTCTTCGAAGTCCACCTGCACCACTTTGGGAACTAATAGTTTAAACGATAAATGTTTAGATTTCCATTTTATAGATTATACTACATATCTAGCAATATTCTACTTCATAAAGCTATAGTAACAAAAAATAATGTTATTTTAATTAGTGGACGGATTCTCAGGGAGGGATCCGTCCACTAGCGGCAAGCGTGTATGAAAAGATTGATGAATGTGGAAGAAGAGAAAGAGGTTTGTTTGAATCGAAGCATTTGGCGTTCCATTGTTTCTGCCTACCCTAATGGGAGACAGGCGTGACAGATATGTATGTTAATTAGTGGAATAATTTTAATAGTAACATCGTCTAATAATCTATAAATATCAAAAATATTATAATTATAACACAGTAAGTAGAGTAGATTCAATCGTTAACATAATGCAAGTATAAATAGTCGTATTATAAATCATCTGCGCAATGAATGATATAAATTGTTATCAAGAAAATAAACAGAAATAAATTATAATTATTTTAATCAAGGTAATATTTACATTGACGTATTTAATAGCACGTGTTTTGCTATATATAAAAATATAAACATACCAGCTAAGAACTAACTCTCATGTCGTGAACTTATGACACGGTCGGAAGTCATCGGGTTCATACAATCGGTAACATCGATATGACATGCGACACGACTCAGATAAAGTGTTAAAATAACCATATTTACGAAATATAATATGAATCCGATGCGCTTGTGGTGTATTATGAGTCATAACAACGTCATAACTTATGACATTGTTATCAAGAAAATTAACAGAAATAAATTATTTTTATCAACGTAATATTTTCATTGTCGTATTAGCACGTGTCTTGCTGTATATAAATATAAACATACCAGCCAGAAACTAACTCTCATGTCGTGAACTCGTGACACGGTCGGAAGTCATTGGGTTCATACAATCGGTAACATCGATATGACACGCAATAATACAACTCGACAGATAGTGTTAAACTATCATATTTACCAAATATTTTATGAATCTGATGTGATCGTGGTGTGTTGACATTATTATAATAAAAAAAAATAGAAAAAAAAATTAATCAATATAATATATACATTAACGTATTTAATAACACGTGGGTTGTTACATAAATACAAATATAAACATACAAGCAAGTATCATAATCTCGTATCGTGTTCTCATTATACGCTAGAAGTGATCGGGTTCATACAATCGGTAAAATCGATATTATACGACCGTACTAACCACGATAGTGTCAATAACCATAATTACCGTAATTATATAATATAAACCCGACGTGCTCGTAGTGTGTTATGATCATGAAGCGGTAGTATGATTCTAAATTATCGATGAATAAAAAATATTCAAGCTAGACACTACCGAAATGTCACACGGCGTATAACTCGTGACGCTGAAGAAGTCATCGGGTCATAGATGGTAAAGTCACGAATTATGAATTACGGTTATACGTTTTCATAAAAAAAATACTCATAAACTTTTAACGAATTATGCCTATCGTGGACAACTGACTCCTGATTTGACGCCATTTTGAAGTCATTGTGCTCGTACATTTGGTAAAATCGACACAACATAGTGATATAAGTAATTTATGTATTCTAAAATTTCTAATATTGGAAAAAAGAGATAGTAATGGGGTCCTTAATTTTCATTGCTAACTACATACCCTGTCAAGCGAAGTACACGCGGGTCTCCCTGGAAACCATCATGTTTAATAATTGTTGAATTCGTTACGATAGGCCAATTAACCTGCTTCCATTCTCACCTATCATCCTTCACTGGTATCCCGCTAGAGTATACCAATAGCGTAGGCGGGGTTACTATTGCATTATCAAACTAATATCGATTGTTAGTAATACGGATTAGCAACATCTACATACGCTCCAGATCAATCTACAAGCAGCGCTCTTTGGAAAAAAATCGTTATGAATTCCTGGTGAATTCGTCACGATGAGCCCGTACTCTGATAAGCCGGGTTGCCATTTCATTTTCATGCATAAAGACCTATATTTTTTATGAGACTTAGTAGACAAACAAGTTGACGGCCCACCTTTGATAAAAAATGTATAAACTATATGGGCTTGTAACATGTTTTGCACGTGGTAGCTGCTTTTAATTATTTCGACCAATGAAATTATATCAAGAAACTATATAATGGCAACATACGAATTATCCGTCAGTTAATAAAAACAAAATTCTTTAATATTTCTAAATAATTCTTATTAAAAAGCGTTCTGATAGTAAACAAAGCGTTTATTTTGCAGTAAGATTCTTAATGTCACAGAAATTTTGGATTTAAATGATGAGAATATATTCGAGAATTTTTAAAGCAATATGAAGGTAGTTGCAAAATATTTTGCAACATATACTGTATGTTCAAATAGTGTTTTACAAATAATATTTTCTTTCGTTATCAGACTACTTTTTAAATAGTTATCTAGA